GTGTGTGTGTGTGTGTGTGTGTGTGTGTGTGTGTGTGTGTGTGTGTGAGAGAGAGAGAGAGAGAGAGAGAGAGAGAGAGAGAGAGAGAGAGAGACTGACTTCTATTTGGACAACTGTTTTATAACAACCTCAGATACCAGGCAGACACGTTCCCCCCTGCTCTCTGCTTCCTAGGGAAGCTGTTGGGGAGCACGTGTCTTCCTGTTACAAACTCATGGCACAGCCTTCAGATTTCTTCTAAACTGGTCCCCTGGAGGTGGTCTGGGAGAAGGGCAGGACAGAAAGGCTGGGATGGAGGAGGTGGGATCTAACAGGGATGCTGGAGTGTAAAGTGCCTGTGTGTGCTGGGAAGTGGGTGATGGCTGGGACAGAGAGAACCAGCATTGGGATGGGCACCTTGATTAAACAGCCAAAGCCCCAAACAGTCTCTTCTCAATGGGTGAGTGGACAAAATGAGGCTCTATCCACACCCCGGCTGCCCTTCTTATGATGTTAAATGACATGCCTGTGAACCTGCATTTTAAGCTTGAATTGTCTACAAGCCCAGAGAGGCACATATTCTCCATCAAGCAGTGGGGGAAAGTACCCAACTATCGATTGCCCTGTGTCCTTTTGTAATGATACAGAAATTCCCTGCAAGATAATGGATGAGGAGGTTATCAGACTTGATAGAAAAGGTGATTTTTGCTGAAATAGGATTAAAAGCTGATTACTTAACATGTGTGCAGAATAGCAAAACCTGGCCCAGTGATGACAAGCCCATCATCCCTCAGGATTGAAGTGGGCAGTCAGCCTTACTCAGAGCTTGGCCTTGCCCCAGATGTCGGTGAGGGATGTGGAAACCATCAAATGAGTTGCACTGTCTTGTCTGGCCTAGAAACACACAATCTGAGTGGTCCAGAGATGGGTCCAGAGATGGTGGGCCATTCATGGGAGGTGTTGCAGGCTCAATGGCAACAGAACCAGCTCTGGAATTTTCTGAAGTTGGAAATTAGGGTGAAAGTGAACTGGAGGTCAGGGAGCTAATCTAGAATCTCTCAGGCCAGGTCTGATAAGAAGGCCACTGGCGTGTCAGGGGCAACACTTCAGCACTGAGTCCCGACCCATTTCCAGATGGGGCTGGGGCTGTTTCAGAATACCCTGCCATCTTACACAACAGGACTTCTGAAATGGACTGAATGTTTGTGTCCCCCCAAAATTCATAGTTTGAAATCCTAACCCCCAATGTGACAGTGTGAGGAGGTGGTGCCTTTGGGAGGTGATTAAATCATGAGGGTGGGGTCCTCATGAATGGGATTAGTGCCCTTATAAAGGGGACCCTCACCCCTTCTGTCATGTGAGGACACAGCAAGGACTGTCAGTAGTCAGCCTGCAACCCAGAAGAGGGATCTTACCTGACCATGCTGGCACCCTGATCAAGGACTTCTAGCCTCCAAAACTCTAATAAGTCCATCCATTTTATTGTATTTTGTTGTAGCACCCTGAACTAAGACAGTTTCCCAACCTGAGGTCTGAAAAGTGGTGACAGACTTCCCAGAGCTTTTCAAATACTTCCAAAAGCCGACAGGAAATGCCGAGTCCCAAGCATTTGGACACAGTGACTGTCAATGCAGGGGGCTAGTGCAAACCCAACAGAAGCCCTGGCTTTGGGATCATTGGAATTTCTGGTGTGACTGATGAGGCCAAAACTACTGTCTGTCAGGGAATGATAGAATACTATTCAAAATTAGAAAAGGAATTCTTGGTGTTGAAAAGTTATTACAGGATTGGTAAATGTGGAGGATCTGTCAAAAGTTGATGTGGGTGTTTCCTGAAAAAGCCAGCATATACAGTTGTGCAGGTTACACACTGCACAATTCTAGGGGGCACCGTTGCTATTGTAGGTATGAGAGCTTTGTATTTACATAAATAACAGTTTTCTGAAAAATGGTGATAAAGTGTCTCGTTCTAACAAAATCAGTATATGGCGATGGTTTTATGACCAATGGGAGCCAAGTGTCTTGAGGAAGAACTGCCTTTTTTACTTTACATCTTTAAAGATGTTGTCTAGATTGCTGGTGGCAGCATTGTGCATCTACTCCATACAACCTCTATGTAGACTGGAGGGGACCAGGGGCCCTGCTGTGACAGCAAGGTCCCTGGTAGCCAAAACAGTTCCCCATCTTCCTCTGGATGTTAGGAGGACAACGTATTGAACCCTGCGTGGCTTTGCCAAAAATTCAGCAAAAAATTCAGCATCCACTTTGCTCCAAAGGCTAGAGCCAACCCCTACCTTTCTCAGGGATTTTTTCCTGGATACTCACCTCTGCAGGAAGCAGGGTGTAGGAGTAGAATTGCTTCATTTTGGTCACCAGATCGTCTGTGGAGAACGTCACATACTCAACAAACTTCCGGTTTAGCAGGAACCAATCTGAGCCGCCATCCACGGCAATGCCCTCTGGGATCCGCCGGTCCCCCAGGCGCCACATGTGGGCATCACACTCCAGAAAGAGCCGGTCCAGGCCCTGTTTCCGGATGAACCTGGGCAAGACAAAGTAGTGCTTAGCCCTGAAAGAGCGCCACCTAGAGTCCAAATGAAATGGCACAGTCTCGGCAATAAAGGCATTTATTGAGTACTTGATACTGAGCTAGGGGCTCTGTGTGTAGTTTTTCACTTGATCTTCACAAGTGAGGCTGGTGTCTATAACCCTATGAGGTAGGTACTATTATTATGCCCATTTTACAGATGAGGACACAGAAGCTTAGAGAGCTTAGGAGACTTGCCCACCCAGCACGATTAGATGGCAATGATCATCTGCTACATCTGCTTCCTCTTTAGAGAACTTTTGAAATCACCTTTTCATGCCATGGACGCCTTGGCAGTTTGGTGACTACAGCCTAGGGACCCTCATCTCAGAATAATGCTTTTATTTTTTTAATTTATTTTTTAAAATTAATTAATTAGTAAATTAAGTATAGTTGATTTACAATATAGTGTTAGTTTCAGGTGTACAGCAAAGTGATTCATATACACACACACACACACACACACACACATACACATATATATATACACACATATATATATTTCAGATTCTTTTCCTTTATAGCTTATTACAGGATATTGAATATAGTTCCCTGTGCTATACAGTAAATCCTTGTTGTTCATCTGTTTTATATATAGCAGTGTGTATCTGTTAATCCCACACTCCCAATTTATCCCATTGCAGAATAATGCTTTTTTTTTTTTTTTTTTTTGCGGTACGCGGGCCTCTCACTGCTGTGGCCCCTCCCGTTGTGGAGCACAGGCTCCGGACGCGCAGGCTCAGCGGCCATGGCTGACAGGCCTAGCCGCTCCGTGGCATGTGGGATCTTCCCGGACCGGGGCACGAACCCGTGTCCCCTGCATCGGCAGGCGGACTCTGAACCACTGCGCCACCAGGGAAGCCCCAGAATAATGCTTTTAAATGCATACAACGAAAATACACAGGGTTACAAAATATTTTCAAAAACACCAAAGTGATGATATAGTAATTTACATGATTCTTGATTCACACATTAAAATGAGTATTATAAAATATATTTTAAAACACCACATTTATGATAATTACATGTGTTTCCTTTTTAACACATTTAATCACAAGGTCTTGTAGTAGGTCTAAAAACTACTGTAATTTTGAAGAAGAGGTGAGCATATATGACATTTAGAAGTGGATGCCTCAATTATAACGCGATTTGAAAATATGTGATTCCTGGGCCTTTCCTGGCGGTTCAGTGGTTAAGACTCCGCGCTTCCAATGCAGGGGGCATGTGCTCGATCCCTGGTTAGGGAACTAAGATCCAATATGTCACGTGGCATGGCCAAAAAAAAAAAAAAAAGTGATTCCTAACGGTAACTGCTAATACCGTGGTGGTTTGTTACCCTACATTTTGCCTACATTTAGCTAGATTTCAGTTAGAGTTTAGTGAAAATTAAGATCATTTTCTTCCTATTCAAAGTCACAGACCCCTGAATTCTATCCATGAACCTCAGATTAATAACTCCTGCTCTAGGACACACACACACACACACACACACACACACACACACACACACACTCTTGGGATTCTGCAAGCCAGGCAAGGTGGAACTGGCATTTCCTAATTTGTAGATGCAGAAATCAAAGGTCAAAGAGCTGGTAAGGTGGGTGTGTTGGGAGGGTAGACAGAACTAGGGCCAAACTCTCTGGCCAAAACTCTCAGTTCATTTGCAGTTAGCATTAACTTCGCACCTACTATGTGCCAGGCATGTGCTGGCCTTGAGGCAAGGAGAAGTGAGGATGGTCCCTCCTCCTCAGGAGCTGGTTATCTCGTTGGGAGTTTATAGTCTACAGGTCTCCCCGCCCAGGGATCCTGCTGCCCCTCCAGCTCATACAACATAAAATCAACCATTTTAAAGCATACAATTCAATGGCATTCGTTCATTCACAAGGTTGTGCAATCGTCATCTCTATTTTCAAAATATTTTATCACCCCCAAAGGAGACCCCCATCCTCATGAGCAGTTGCTTCCCATTCCCCCTTCCCTCCAGTCCCTGGCAATCCATCTATGGATTTATCTATTCTGCATATTTCTTATAGAGAGAATCACACAAGTTGTAGTCTCTTCCACTTAGCTTCGTGTTTTCAGGGTTCCTCCACATTGTAGCAAATAACGGGGCTTCATTCCCTTGTTTCTGTCTGCCCAGCATCCATTGTCTGGGAACCACACTTTGACTTTATTTTGGACACTTGCTCACCCTCAACTCTCAGTTCACTTGGCTTGCCTCACCCCCAGCACCAGGGGTGGGAACACGACTCAGCCTGGTCAATCAGAGTATTCCACCTGCTTGGCTGCCATAATTGCTTCCTGGATGCGCACGCACCTCAAGCTGAGTCTGAGACTAGGTTCCGGAGTTTTGCTGGAAATACTAGGAAGGAGGGCTTTTCTAGGGGATTTTTTTCTGGAAGAATGCAAGCTGAGGGCTGCTGACAGCCATCTTGTCACCATGAGTATAGAGGTTGTCTGATCATGAAGGTAACATAGAAGAGAAGACAAAAAAAGAGAGACGGAGAATGGGAGGGAGGGAGGGAGGAAGTAAGGGAGGGGGAGAGGCAGACAGACAAGGCCTTGATGACTCTGCTTGAGACCCTGGATCCTGCTATACCCGATTCACCCCCAGACTTGTCAGTAAAGTGCGTAAGGCATTTTAAGATGGGATTCCGTGACTTGCAATTCAAAGAGTCCTGACTAATACATTCCTGAATGATTTCACCTTTATCATTACCGTGATGAATGCAAATGTTCTTAGGCTCCAGATAGGGCAGGTAGCCATGGCTGTGGCACATTAATGCCACCTCTTCCACTAGAGCAGGCTGCATCCCCCACTGTGTGTCTAGAGGTCTTTGTGCCTCCATGGCAGACCTCATCTCTGTCTTCACATTAGAGTTACCTGTCTCCTCTGAGGTAGATGCTGTGCTCACTAGAACTGATCTTGGCTTCCTCCTTTCTGCCTACCTTACAGGTCCTGGAAGAGTGCAAGGCATCTGCTCAGGAAAGGTCTATGGTGATGACCAGACGTCAGAGCATAGAAGCTGAAGACAGTCCCACCCTGTTGGTCATGCTGAATTCTACAAAGAATCTCTCCCATTGGGCCTCCCACAAATCCACCAAAGGGAACTGCCTGAAACCTCACTAATAAACCCACATCCCTAGCCTTTTCTTCTGCATAAATAGAGGACCTGCTTCTTGACATTGGTCACTCACTGAGCACGATGGTGTAATATATTTAATTCTTAACCAAACTGATGCTAGTGTAATAAAAATGGTGACAACAACGATGCTGGTGGTGAACGGACTTAATTCTGCTAAAATGTGCTTTTCATCTACATTGCAATATGGCTCTACCAGTAACCAGCTGGGTGAATTTGGAAAATGATGACCTTGACTCAGTTTTCCCCCATGGGAAACTGACAAAGTTGGGCTAGGTCTAGGTTATAAAATTAAATGTCTACAGGGGTAGACAAGTAATATAAGTTTGTGAGGGGGGCTTAGTATAAGATAACAGGGTAGGTGGAGTTAGCAAAGACGTAGAGACTGCATTTTCTGAAAAGCACTCAAATCCCTTACAAAAAGCATTTCTGGCTAAATAAGACATATCTCTAGGCTGACTCCAGCCCACAGACCACCAGTCCTAATAACGCTGGGTTAGGTAATCTCTAGGGTACTTTCCAGCTGTGACATTCTCTAAGTCCCTCCGTTATACTCAGCAAGAGGTGTGGGGCAAGCATTAGACGGACGCATGGGAGCCCAGAGAAGGCTGACAGCTTTTCTGAGGATACAAACAAGGGCAGAAGCCGACCAGAAGACCCACGTGCCCAGCATCCCTGGCCCTGTTCTTTCCCTAACACACCTTTCCTAGTGCAAAATCCAAGTTCGTTAGCGAAGCCACGTTCTCTCTGGGGAGCGACCTGGTGAAGGGTTTTCAATACACTCACCACAGCACTCACTGACACTCACGGACCCACTGAAGGAAGCCGCCGAGGCTGCGGAAATAAAATCCTACCTCGACTCTGGCTGGTGCCAATTATATGATAATGTCCAGTGGGCACACTTAACTGTGTTTAAAACTTTAAATTTGACATACTCTATATCAAAACTTACATGGTAATCAAGACCAACTGAGAATAAGAGAGAGAGAGAGAAGAAATACAGGTGGGACGACTTGCAGATTTTTCTTTCCGTGGAGCAGCCTTTTAATTTCATGTTCCATTAGATGGGATAACAGCATCATCTTGCAATTTTAATGTGATGACCCGGACCGCAATATCCAAATACAATATTTATGCAGTAATCTCCAAAATGAAATATTCACGGGGTTGGGAGATTGGCCGCTGTATTGACTGCCTTCAAAAACTGATAGGCTGCAAACACATGCTTTGGTTAATTATGAGTAAACAGAGACCACAGATTGCCTAGGTATCAGAAAGGGGCTACCAGGAGCTTAGGTCTGGACTCAGATAAGGTGGCAGACGCCCAGAGTCTGGGTATCTAGCAGGCGAAAAGAATCAGCTGTTTCAACAGTGATTTGCTTTTTATTCTTCCCTGTGGATTTACTATAACTTGAAAAGGTAAAGGTTGGAAACCATAGTAAGTTTATGAACACCCGGGTGAGTCTTGTCATCAATGCTGGCTCATCGGGAAAAGGTGCACGGCCCTCTCACCTGAGGGATGGAGGGAAGATTTGCAGCAATGGGCCCAATTCACAGAAGGTGACCAATGATGCTGCCCTCCTTTCAGTTTTGTTTCCAGTTGACCTGGTTACCTGGTAGAACTGGGCTCAACAGGTGATACCATAGAAGAGCAGACATGCAGAGGATCTGGTACCAATGCTGTCTCCGCTTTCACTGAGAAGTGGGGCTGGCTTAACTTCTCTGAATGCCAGTTTCCTCACCTGTAGGATGAGCTCCATGACACCTGTCCTAACAAGTTCCCAAATCAGCTGCAAAATTGTGATGGGTGAC